CATCAGTCAGGTTCTGGTATTTGACTAGAAGCTGGTCTTTCTCTGCTGTGTGATTGGCCAGGTCTCTAGACAGTTGTTTAAAGTCTCTGTCATCTGAGAGGAGAGAAAAAGAGCAGAACATACAGTACATACCACAAGTGTCTCTTAGCCTGAAATGCTACCCCCTCTTCTTCCTCTTTCAGCCCCCCCCCCCACCTTTTCTCTCTCTGAATACTCACATAGGGCGCCGACTCCTATGACTGTGGTCAGCAGGAGGAAGCACAGCAGTCCTAGACAAACTGTAGTCACTTTAAAAGGCAGCCAGGTTTCAGTTTCTTCCCCAGCCACAGCATCAGTTCTCACAGGCTTGGTTTCTGCAGGTGTACATTGTTGTAGAAGAGGTTACACATGACTCTGATACATTGGTGCCTTTCTGTTTAGAACTGTTACATAATAGTTGTACGGTCGTTCAGTTTTACTGCAGACCTTAAAGAAGATCAAGGTGGCCGCACATTATTTATGGTGTACATACAGTAGTGCATTACTACCCGTAATACCAACGACGCTGTGGCCTTTGCGCGTGTCATTCCCCTCCATCTCCACCCACCCTTTCCTGTCTCTCTATAGCTGTCTATCAATAAAGCCAATAAAAGGCCAAAAAAATAACGTTTAAAAAAAGTACTCAACTGATGGTGTAAAATATTTAGAAAACTGACTTCTAGAGTTTCTAATCATGTTTATATTGTAAGGTAAAGAGCATTCTGGTTCTTGTTTCTTGCATCATTGCTATGTAGAGCAGCCTCAAATATACAGTATGTTGCAAAATGAAAAAACACACGCACACACACCAAACTCAAATTAACAAAGTCAGAATAAGATTAATTTTCTGATCGAGGCTGAAAACAGACTGTGGTTTTACTGTCTACGTGATGTGTCAGGTCGCTTCTTTAGGAGCTTCCTCAAGATCTCCTTTGTCTCCTCTCAGTTCCTGATATTGTTTTTTTATCATTACGTCCTTTCATTCTTCAGAATCACAGATCTGTCTGTAAACACGTTTGGAAAGTGCCTAAGTTAAAAAATGAATTCTGAATAAGGCTGACTGACAATCTTATGATTATTCTCTCAATTAATCAAAACATAACACACATTACCCATTATATATTTCAAATTCTGTTTTTCTTGGTTTTTTTTATCATGTTATTGCTGTTTTTTCTTCATATTATCATTATTATGATGATGATGGGGTTGATGATGATTTATTTTATTATTATGTAATATTATTATTATTATTACTATTTTTAGCCTTGTTAGGTGAAGCACTTTGGGCCGCATGTTTGTATGAGCGGTGACATATAAATAAAGTTGAATTGAGAATATTGGGAATATTTGGTATCTTCTGTATAAACAATTTCAAAATAAGTCAATTGTCAAAATGCTTGGCACTAACTATTAAAGATTAAATATTTTTTTTTACACTGTAAAACCTGATGAGTTAGTTCAATTTAAACTGTTTGAGGAAACCGATTGCCTTGAACTTGAACATGAACTCCGACAATTTAAGCATGAAAAAAAATGAATAAAAAATATTTTTATTTAAATATCTTTTTTAAAGTAATAAATAGGTTAATAATTAATTGATTATCAAAATGGTAGCCAATTCATTTTGGGCTTTGAGGTTTACATTTTTGTAATGATATACAAGAAGTCAACTTGGAACTGGAACTAAGTCACTAATACTGTTACTAAGAGTTATTATGTCAACAGTTCATTTTTGAGCTGGGTTTTAATTGATAGGAATGAGTGACTGAATTTTTTGGAGTATTAAGTTATGTTAGCTTACTGCTTTTATTAATATGTTCTATAAAGATTTACAGTGTAGTTTAATCCAAACAATCCCATAAATCTGTCACTGATCCTTACTGCTATGGTGCATTTGTGTCCACAAGTGGGCCAAATTTTTGGAGCAGTAAACGATTGCAAGTATTTACAGTAGTGATTCCATTTTTTGTCTTTATATTTGTATTGGTTGTTTCAGATTTCTTCAAAACTACATGAGCTATAAGTTCATGACACAACACTGTAAACTACTGGTATTTTACAGGCTTACCAGTTTCCTCTGGTCTATGGTGTTCAGTTCTGTAGTCACCCAGCTCCTCTAGGTTGACATATATCTGTTCTTCTGGCTCCATCAGCGCAGTTTCTTCAGTCTGCCTACAGTCCAAACACCTGTATATCTGTCAGTCTGTCTGATGAAGTGAACAGTGAAGCAAAAAGAGGGTTATGTAGTTTCTGTTCTGCTATTCTAGTCGATACTATCTTCACAAATGTAGCCTTTTTCATTATTTTGTTCATTAAATCCAATGCTACATACTTCCACACTAGAGGAAAAAAGTAATTCCTCTTGGTCCACAAAGTCCATCAGCAGGGTAAAAGTTTACTTTACTGCTAAAGAATATATAATACAGTAGGTACAGACCCAATTCAGTGTTTTTGCAATGGCACAATGCAAAGTGCCACCCCTGAAATCGGATTGGCCATCCCATTCTCCTTACCTCTTCCACTACACAGTGTCTCTGTTTTAAAGCTAGAGTGAAGATACTGGTATTATATTAAACTAGAAGACCTAGCGCATCCATTGGTACCAAATTTGTAAATAACCATATTTTATCCATATTTAGGCTAAATTTCGGCAATGGAAAAAGTGGCATGGCCATTTTCAAAGGGATCCCTTGACCTCTGACCTCAAGAAACCTGAATGAAAAGGGGTTCTAAAAGGTACCCACAAGTCTCCCTTTTGACATGCCCACTTTATGCTATCCCATGCAGTTTTGGGCAAAAAAACATGCAGTTTTTTTCATGTGGTATAAACTTGTCATTTTCACGTAGTTTATTTGAATATTTCTGCCTACTTAAAGCTGAGACACATACTTCATGCTACCCCTGCTTAAGTCAGTGTATATGTGATCAAATTACTTACATGACTATTTATACACATCTTCTGACATACTTCATTAATGTGTTTTGCTTCTTGTTACTTGATGTTTGAGCTTCACTGTGCAGAATTATGCATGTGCTAAGTTTATTTTTACATTCATCTGTCGAAGAGAGAAAGATTCTCTGTGCTCAACTTAAATCTGAGTTTAACACATGTACAAGTGAGCAGGATTTCATCACATCATAACTAGTTTAAAGCCAGTCGTGGTCCAGTGTGCAACATGCATAGGTGTGATGTAGAAACTTGAACTTGAATATAATTCAAGTTATCTGTCTTAAAACACGTTACAATCTCAGTGGTAGTTCTTCTAATCAGACAGTCTTTATGATGGGTTTTTACATTGATGCTAACAGCTTTAAATTAAGGGTACGATTGGGAGCAATTGATATGTTACATCAGCACAAGAGACAGGCTAAGAGGAATTTGAATAATGCAATAAATACTAATAAGAAATTAAGAAAATTAGAGGGATATAGTAATAAATATAATATATACAGACTGTACAAGAGAATTGTGTATTGTGTAAAGTATTTGTGCAAAAAAACATCCAGAAACTCCAGCAACCATGATGTCTATATTATTTACACTATGAGTATGACAAATTAGTACAACATACATACTATATGTATTTATATGTAAGTGTTATATAATGTATAAGCAGAATATACAGTAATAATATAGTACTATGATATATAGCACATAATATAAAATGATGTATGTGTGTATGTGTTATATAGCTGTATAAGTAATATGAAGCAAGACACATATAAAAGTATTATTTATATATGTATTGCTTAATAAATTAGTATTTGCTGCTTTATGAATAAACCATAAATAAACAACAGCCTCTGGGTTGCCATGTTGTGGAAATCCCTTTGGCTGGTGTTTATCCTCCTCCGGCATTCTGCTTTCTTTAACTGTAAGACTTGGAATATTATTGTTTTAATCACTACAACACAAAGTAATTCAATTCAGTTCAAAAACCATGAACAAGCACTTGGCGACGGGGGCAAGGAAAAACTGCCTGTTAAAAGGCAGAAA